CATCTAAATCCAATTGAAAATCTGTGGTTCAAGTTAAAGAAGGCAGTACATGCAAGAAACCCAGGTAACAACAAGCAATTGAGGGAGTTTTGCCAAGAAGAACGGTCAAAAACTGACACTTACTACTGTCAGAAACTTCTTAAAAATTATAGAAAAAGACTGGTTGACATGGTGATCTCAAAAGTAGGAGTCACTAATTACTAAATGTAAGGGTTCACTTACTTTTGCACATCTTAACTTTTAATTTTTAATTAATATTTTTATTCCAGCTTGATAAAAAAAATTTGAATTTGGTTGTAATTCATTTAATAAAGGTTTTCCATAATGAATATATAATTTAAGATTTGTTGATTATCTGGAAAAAAAGACAATTTTTTTTAATATTATCTCAGGGGTTCACTTACTTTTGCACAGCATTGTATATATACAATTTCTAATACATGGTTTAGTAAGAAGTAAGGAGGGTAAACTAGGTTCTTAGCATGAAAAGTGATATCAATATCTAAGTCAATAATTGAATGCCTGCTGTAGTTTAACAGCAATCCAGTCCAAATTTGAACAGGAAACATAATTTTAAAATAAAACTGGAGACAAAATCTCTGCCAAAAACCAACCTTGTTTAATCAGTATCTATCTACAGGTTTCTTTTAAGGAGAACCTAAGCAGTGTTAACCAACTCCTTAAATTCTAATGAAAATGTCAATAAGATGAAAAGTATAAGGCATTCCCTGATGTCTGTAGTTGTTGCAGGTGTACTCTAAGGTGTTTAATTTTAGGATCTGTCTTTATGGTCTGATGTGATATAAAGATTGAATTTAGTAAATTTTTAAAGATGTTTGTGTTTCAGCATAGCAGTTAGAACAGTGACCAAAAATTCTGAGCTTCCATCTTTTAGTGCCTGGAATGAGAACACAAATAAAAGGATAAATAAAAATTGTCTTAGAAATATAATCAAACATATCCATGAATAAGATCTGAATTTGTTTCATTGTATTATATTTGATATTGTAGACTAATATTAATATACTGAATGTTGTGATATGAAATATTTGCATGAGGTCTAAATAGTAGTTCAGAAGTTAAGAATAGAAACTAATATATACATATATATATATATATATATATATATTAGACCATGGAATCATCACTACACAGTGACTGTCAATTTCAAGCTTCAATATGATTGCATGCAGTGCTGATTTTTATGTCAATACTGTCCATATCTATAAACATTATGTTGCATACTCTTTTCCTATAAATATAGAAAATTTTAAATTTATATATATATATATATATATATGTATGTGTGTGTGTGTGTGTGTGTGTGAGACAGAATGTGAAAGCCAGGGTCAGAATGGTCAGTGATTGGCCGGCATGCCTCATGGGCAGGGTATTCTGACAGTGATTGATTGCCTTTGTCTGTGCTTTGAATACAAGTTCAAAATGCAGTGAATTCAACAGAGAGTCTCAGGAATTCTGAAGACAGATGGGAGTTCTGACAAAGACCATAGTAGTAGTAATCACAATAGTAATTATATGCTCAGAACAAGGGCGAAGAAGAGTAGATGATCAGCACAGATATGGGTGTATGATAATCGCAGTAACTCTGATTCTGGTATTTAATGAAAAGAAAGGAGGAAGGAAATGGTGGACATATACAAAAATCTAGTAAGAGTGAGAACTGAGCAACTGGTATTGGAAGGAAGATCATGTGTAGTATAGATGAAAAGAGTAGGAAAAAGAAAAAAATAAGAGACATAGTTAACATACTCACAGAAACATTTTAAAACAAAACTACATTCTGCCATTTAAGCATAATTGAGCCAGTTAATTTTAAGAGATAAAAACAATAGACCTTAAAAAAAATTGTTTGGCATGGACACAGTGGACAGCAGACAATCCCAACCAGATTGTTCACACACACACACATATGTACCCATGAACTGAAGACATACAAAGAAATTTTTGTTTAAAAAAAAAAAAGAGAAAAGTGAATGAACAATTCTGTTGGTTTGCCAAAGAGCAGACAAAAAGACATATCCAAATATCCATGCACTCTTGTGCAAACAGACCAAACCAAAAGAAAAGAAAAGAAACATGTAACAGCCACATAGGTGGCTTTGAACAACTGCATTTTGTGTTCCTGCTTTGGGGGGGCGGAGAAGAGTTGGATTCATACCTTAGCACGTAAGTGAATGTAATGAACTCAATCCAAGCCGCTATCCATTACTCCACCCTACCTCCATAATATATATATAATACAATTAGGAAAACTATTTGACATCTTTTGTTAATGAACTGGTGCAATTATAAGAAGAATTTAATTTCATAAGAGCAAAATGTACATTAGAAAGACAAAATATGCCAATAAAGTTTCATGTTTCTTATACACCGACCACACAATCTTCAGGCAGTTCAAAGGACAAGATACTCAGTTATATATATGTTCACACACATTCTTTTAAATACAACTGATAGAGAATGTCTAACCTTTTGGTAAATATGTCTTGGTGTTGGAATAGTCACTTTGTTTTAGATAGAAAATTGTAAAGGAACTTGCTGAATGTCATTAAATGTAATCTCTAAGTAAGCAAAAGGCAATACACAAACATAACACAATTCTATGGGACTCCTGTTAATTTATCAGATTTTGGTCTACAATAGAACAATTTTCTGTCATTAACTATAAAAAAGCATTACAAATCTTTGAAAACTTTCAGAAGCAACTGATATTAATAAAATGTTTCAATCTAGATGTTCACATTTTGAAGAGCTTTTAATCTGCAGTTGTATTTGCCACATAACCAGGGCCAGATTATCCTTTAGGCTAGTATAGGCTGCAACCTAGAGCCCCTCAAGCTTTTATAAAACAATGACTTTAAATTTTTAGATGTTATGAATTCTAAATCGTTTCATAAACTGAAATGATATCAATATGACAATCTCATTAATCTTGATTGTTTTATTGTTATAATACTGGTTATAAAAAATCTTTTCTTTATTATGGTTGTGTTGAAATATGTGCTAATTTAGTTTGCAATAAATACTAAAATAATGATATTTCTTAAATAATATTTTTATTGATGATCAAAAGATATTCTAGTTTGTTTAAAGAATTTGAAATAAGTTTATTTCAAGCTATGTAAATGTCACTAAAATATATAATAAGTAAAACATTTTTCATTTTTTTCAAGTTAGAATGTGGCTCCATCTGAGGAGGACCATATAATTTCATTAGCCAAGGGGCCCTAAAAGTTCATAATCCAGTTCTGCAAATGAGGCTAAATTCAATTCATAAACAAGACATGTGAACACTTTGATTTCAAACTTTAAGCTGGCAACAATATAAGCTCCATTAAAAGCCATATTGGCTATTTCATGACTATCCATCTTCCTTCTTTGAAAATGATCATTGATATCTGAAATACTCAAATATTAACATTTACTTTGTGAGCTCAATTTCAATGCTAAGAAGTTCTCTGTGAGCTTCTTGGGGGATTTATTCTATGGAATAAGTTACCTTAAGGAGAGGTTGCAGCCGCCCAAAGAAGTAAACTTGTATATAAAGCAATTACATTATGCAGAGTTCAATCTTTAAGAAAGGCACTGGTAGTTACAATTCAAAGATTAGTGAGGGATATTTACAATTTTATTTGAAAATTTCCTTGAAGGCTACCAAATGAAAGTTGGAGAAAAGACCAGCTCAAATGTTGCATTCAAAGCAACATTGATAATTGATTTGTTTTTGTGACTTATTGACCCTTTTTGTGTCATTTAAAGCAAAGACATTTTGGATTGTACAAATAATTATTTTTTTTCTTTGTGAGTGAATATTGCCTTAACGATTCTTTGGAGATAACAATGATTTTTCCAGACAAAGCCCAACTATTTAACCCACAGTTGGGGGAAGAGATGGATTCATATCTTTCCCCAAGGGTATTTGTGCTTAAGTGAATGTAATGAACTCAACAATGATAAGGATGATGATCAGAATAAATCACCAAATCATGATTATATCTCACCTCACAATTAATGAAGGCTAAATAAGAAGAAACCAGCTGAAATGTTGCATTCAAAGCAACAATGACAAACACATAATGATTAACAAAAAATAATGATTAACAACTACTTAACTTCAGGCATCAAACAGGAATTTCCATTTAAGGTCATTCCTTAATGAATTATGATTAATGAATGATCATAGATACAAGTTCCTATGATAGCTGAAGCTAAACAATTGTTAATTATTATTAATATAATTTACCCCCCCCCACACACACACACACGCGCACACTTAAAAAAATTAAAAGGGAATTATCATGGCTCATGTAGTGAAAAAAATGGTAATTTTCCAAAAGTTGTGATATTAATATAAATACACCACAGGTTCAAATTCATAAATATGAAATCTTTGTCCTACAAGGGAATACTGAAAATTTTCAGTCCAATATTGAAATGTTAACAAAATCAAGAAGACTTTCATGTTTGATAAACAAATACTGATTAAATAAAATCAATATTATTATTTCTGACTAGTATTTATCTTAATTTTTATTTCTTGATTTTTATCATGACTAAAAAAAATTCAAGATGAAATACCAGTCAAAAGTTAATAATGGTTGACCATGCTTCAGCTAAGAAAAAGAAAATCAAATTAATACTGTTGCAAGAACAAATCCTATGTTTTGAAAATTACTTTTAACTTTCTTGTGATAAAATTCACTTGTATGAATAGAACCAATCTTTCCAAAACATTAAGAGTTAAGCTAATTTTAATCCAAAAATGAGCTAATAGACATAAGTATTAATCTGATGTTAATAAAGGGAGAAAAAGAATAGTTGAAGTTTATTCATTTGCTTAAGTAAAAATCAGGTGATTATTTGGTTTTATTTTGTTTTCTTGCAGTGACGAAAGTTTATGTGAAGGATGATACTTAGGGCTTTACAGGAGTATTAGGATTGGTCATAGGTTGTCTCATATTTGAGGAAGACATACTGACCTCAAGTTTTCGGGTGATCATGCTGAGGGCAGAAGGATCAAGGTTAGAACAAGACAGGATTTCATTGAGCTGGCCTTCTTTCTGTTCAAGCAATTCACCCAATGTTGCCATTTTCTTCTCAAGAAGGAGATTCTTGAAGCTGCTTTTTTGTTGTACTTCATGGATAGACTTGACAAACTGACTGTACAATTCATCTCGTTCTTCTTGAATCTTAAAAAGACAAAGAAAATACATTTCTAACATTCACAATGATATTTCACCTGTTAGAATTAGCTAAAGCATTGTACTACTGCATATATTTTGATAATGAAACTCAATAAATTATTATTTTAAGAGTAATTACTTTTATTACGAATTTTTGGCTAATTTTTCATCTTATTGTTGCTTTTTATCAACATTCTGGTCTGATACCCTCCAACTACTAAAGCATAAAATTAGATCAAAATCAGAAATTACTATGGAACTTGGACTATTTTGGGTTTATTTTTTCCTTTATTTGTTTCCTTTTATCACAAAGTTCCAGAGTAAATACCCTTTAAAAATTAAAGTTAGAGGTGCAAAGTAAGAAAAAAGAAATTTAATCTAATGAGAATAGAGTTCACATCCCATATCTGAGAATCTTACCTTTTATGGATAATACCTTAACCTCCTACTACTACAGATTATAAGATATGGTTTTGGATATCTACAACTTTTACAAAGTTGTAGATTTCTGGTGCCTCTTGTTGGTCATATGATGGGTGTTAATGCTGTGGATTGAAATACTGTGTTGGCACATTCAGGCGTTCTTGAACTGTAAACATGTGAAACATTAAGACAAATTAGGGCTCTTTTGATCTTAAAGGTTAAACCAGTCATGGAAATATAAATAAATTTATTTACTTCTAGTCATTGACTTTCTTGGTCAATTTGATTAAGCATTATCCATGAAAAATGATCTTTCAAGCTATGGATCAAAGTTCAAGTTTTATTAGAAGATACTTTTTGGTTCTCATCTCATGCTATTTGCTTTAATGGTTGGCCTGGAATATTGTGACAAAAAGAATCATTAAGATGAAGAAAAGACTAGCCAAAAATTCAAAAGATGTTATTCAATTAAGGGCAATTCTCTATTTAACAAACAAATTATTTTTTTGACATAAAAGGGAAATACTATTTTGGAATTCATCTTTATTAAAAATAGTTTTTTAGTTCTGTTCAACATACTTGGACTTCACAATTAATATTTCATTAATCTTTTGTAGAGAAAAACAGAACCAATCCAGACACAGAAGCCCATGGATGAATGAGATACGAATGTTCACATCTCTCCTCCAATACCATACTGTTTTGTTGTTTAATGATTAGTAACAATATTCAGTTAAGCTCTGAGATGAAACATTTGTACTATTAATATTTGATTAAAATACTTTTCTTCATCATTGATCCTCATTACATAGTTCAAAGTAATAATTTAAGAGTATTTCAGGTTGTACTGGCACTAAGAGCAAAGATATGATTTATTGTGAGTGGCAGAGTCAGGACTTTTCCAAAAACAAAATGAACTACCTCATTCAGAATTGAAACTCTGAAGATTCCATTTTCTGTGCTGTTAAATGTTAGGCCACTCCCAATAATATTATATATACTAGCATATTATGCATAAAAATGATGAGGTTATTTACATAAAGATCAGCACTTCTGCTTAGGATCAAAGAAACTGAGCATTCTGCTTTGGATCAAAGTGTTACTATTCAGCCCTTTACCTAGGACCAATGTAGTATTTCTGTGTTCTGTGAAAAGTGTTATACACATACAAATATATAAGGATATACTATGTATATGTGGTGAAGAAAATGTCAGTTTCATCAAAATAAGTGGTGTGTCACACGTTCTCTGTCACTTAAAAAGGAAGGCTTGTGTGACTTCTCACTTCATATAGAGAATATCATGCAAGTTTTCTGTTCCAACTGAACCAATCATTGAAATTCGGAACAAAGCTTTACTTTACACTAATGCTATTGAGAAAGTTATGAAATCATCTGTTCTCCAGCTATGAGCAGACTGGACATTTTAGCGTTGGTTGAACAACCAATAGCAAAGAAGAAAAATGATTTCAAACCTCCTGCTAACACATTAAAGGCCATCATGACGTTAAAACTCATTACTTCCTATGTCTGACAGACTTTGCAGAAAACTTGAATCCTGCATTAATCATAAGAACAAGGTCTGTCTAGAAAGCATCCAGCCCTTCAATATTAAGTTAATAGCCTACCTAGATCATTGGTGTGTATGTCTTCTTTAAAGTACTCCCTTTGAGACCTTACATTTATCCCACCATCCTTTTCACTTTTCAAAACAGTTTGTAAAGTCCTTTTACGGGATCACCATCAGCTGCCTTGTGCTCTCCTTACTCTCTTCCATGGTCTGAAATTTACCTTTCAATAATGATATTAACTCTAGGAAAATCTAGAAACCAGATTTAACTGTATAACTGGATATCTTGAACCTATGCTCTGTTCAAGATATTAGTACATCCAGGAATGCAAGTTTGTTATTTTTTTCTCTCTCCATTGTGAACTGTATCAATGATCTCATTGAGTTCACATGGTCCAGTAGTAGCTGGAGCTCTTCCTGGATGTGGATTCTAATGCCATTTCCTCAAAGTATTCCATGTATATGTTAGCCATTGCTGGTAATAATGGCGAGCCCATTGCTAAATCTTCATCCTGCCAATATATGTCTGATCCCAGTGTGGCGCTTGTTTACAGAAAGTCAGCATATCCATCAGGTTATCTATTGGTATACTGGTACATTCTCCTATGGATGAGTCTAAGGCCAGTCTGTCCCCATCTACCAATAGTGCCTTCTCTGTGGGTACCTTTGGTGAAAAGAACTCGCCATGTCTAGGCTCACCATCTGGCTGGATTGGATGGGAGTATCTTTGATTATTTCCATGAAATTTCAATCACCTGAAAAAGGCCTGAGTGTACAATGGCTGAAATGTTGTAAATAGGGCAAGAAATATGAGGACAACAGTCCAAACAATGTAAATAAGAAAAATAATGATATTATTTTGTATTTGCATTGAAGGCAGAAAATAGGGTAATAAAGAAGAAAGTTGAAGATAAACCCACCTTCTCAAAACGTTGCTCAAGTACCTCATGTTCCCATTGAAGAGCTTTTAGTTCCTCTGTGGTCACCTTCAGACGAGCTTTGGTCATCTACAAATAAGTTAATAAAACACTGTCATACAATTATACATTATATTGGACTATCAAGGTCAGTTATGAGATAACATCTTTTTTGCTGCTACTACCTAGGCAGGTATAGTTATGGTGGAGTGGTTTATCTTCTCCATGAATAATTCTGGCATGACATTTTTATCAAGAAATCTGGAATTTAGGCAGAGCACAGGGAAAGGTGAATCCTTTCTGTGCTGATAAAGATTAAGCTATCCAACAAGTACACATACACACAAACATCCTTGATAAAATAAAAAATGTCAAATAAAAGAAAGCAATAAAAAAATCATAAATTTATAATGTTAAAAATATACATTACTTTAGCAGCAGGTTTTAAATAACTCACTATGTTGTTAATATTGTCCCAATTATTATTATTATTATTATTATTATTGTAATTTTTTAGTTGCTTTTTATACCAACTAACTCTGGCTATCAAAACTTCATGGTGAGACTAATTTTCACACATCCATTACCTCAGGTAAACTAGGCCAGCTGCTCTTAACACAGAAATTTAACAGCAGAAGACCAAATCTAAGCTTATAAACCAAATCTTTTTCAGTCTCTTTCAACACCCTATTTGTTAATGTTTTTACACTAGTAGTATTAGTAGCAACAATATTTATTTATATGTATTTTAGATGAATAAAATAATATATATGATAATAAAATCTAAAAAAGAACCTTCATTATTTCAGTTTCATCATTTTCTGAATAAGAATCAGTGACAGAGAAAATCTGCTGACAAAAATGAAAGATGGAGGTAGTGAAATTAAGACTGATTTTCACATTTAAAGATGTAATGCTGGTCTTTTTTTTTCTTTTTTTTTTTTTACTATTGTTCACCCAATACAAGGTCTAAGAACCAATCAAGATAAAAGGTTTTTAAATGAGGTTGTTGTATGGTGGGAGAAAAAGTTCATATTATGAAGATATGTAGTATAGATAATGGCTAACCCAAGACTTGAAGAGCTTAAGGTTATATTGATTGGCGAGGCAACTTATTAGGAGTTTGTTCCACAATAAAACAAATATGGGGAAGAATTTGTCTATATATAGTATCCAAGGCAAAATGGACTTTCCCTATTTTGCATAAAGTGACTAATAAATTAGTCATCACTTGGCACAGAGGTAAAACTTCTATGTGACAGACTAGAAGACAACACAATAATATAACATTGCCAATAGGATCTCTAGCACTGTTGGATGAGCAGGACTTTGTGAAAACATAGATTTTTTGTTTTGCTGCCCATGCATGAATCAAGAAGTTTTAGCTTCAGCAGGATGTGAGGCCATCAGAAAGATCCCTGTCCTGGCGTATCCCAAAGAATTGAAGAATTTTCACAAATTTCAAACTTTATAAAGAGATATTTGCAGCCAAAAAAGAAGTTGTTTATCACAGAGAGGACAAAGTTTTCTTGCAAGCAAACAAGAGCTGAATGAAACAATAATACAGTATGTACACAAACTATGAGATGCTTCCAGATTCTGTGAGTTTGAAAAACTCGACACTGGAAAAATGATTATCAAAGATGAGTGAGATGCTTCATACAAACACAAAGTTTTAGAATGGTTACAATTAACTAGAATGTCCATTAATGCATCTCTAGAGTTTCTGCAACAATTAGAGTTCATTGAGAAATTCAATACATCCAAGAGCAATGTCAAAGCAGATCGAATTACCTTTATAGCACATCAACCCCAACAGGTCATTTAACAAATTACCTCGTGCAATGCAAATATTATGATATAAAGTATGAACAGAACAAGAAAAAAATGTCCAGCTTTAGGAGAAGTATGCTGAAATTGTGAAAAGAAAAACCATTTCCTGTCTGTGTGCAAGTATAAAAGGAAAATAGAAAGGGTAGAAAATTTAACCACAGTTGTATTTGTGATACAAAGACATTAAGAGAAATGTACCAGAGAAAAAATTAAATTGAATGGTATAACAATGCTGGGAGTGATGTCACCCTAATCCCAATAAATAGACAAACCAAAATGAAAGAAAAGTTGGCTTCAACTAAGACAGTTTGATGGCTCTTTCATCAAAACATTAGATTGTTTTGAAGGACCTTTTGAGACTGACACACACACTTCAAAATTATTCCCATCATGGTAGTGAAATGTGAAAAAAGTCATGGGCTTGTGAGAATAGATGTCTTGAAAGTGGATACAACCAAATTAATTAACAATGTGAAGTTGGAAAGTACTGACACGGATACAAAACAAGCATTCAATTAAAAGAAAATAGTCCACCCTATTACTTTGATTCTCACAGACTGCACGTTCACATGCTATCTTTAGTAGTTACTAAACTGAAAACAATGGTAGAGCAAATAATTTTAGAACATTTAGAAAACTGCAGAGGCAACTACCCCTACAAATAAAAAAAAATTGGAACCTTTTTTAGGGTTACTCAATTTTTATAGCAGATTTTTTCCAAAGTATAGTGAATTGATAGAACCCTTTGCGGAGTTACTAAAAAAGAAAAAATCGTATTTAAATGGACTCAATGGCAGAATACTGCATCTGAAAACTTAAAAGAAAGAACTTATAAAAAACTGGTCGTAAAAATTTTTTGACCCTAAAAAGGAATTGACTAACTACAGATGCAAGTGAGCATACTGTATCAGTGATTCTGTCTCAGGAAGGTCATCCTAAAATGTACCTTTCTAGAAGGTTAATGTCAGCCAAGGCTAACCATTCAAACATTAAAAAGAAGTGTTAGCTATGGTATGGAGCACAGAGCTCATCAATTTTCTATTATGCAGGAACTTTCTGCTTAAATCTGATCAAGTAGAGGAAAGCAGCTAGTAACCTACTTGATAAGTTTGTACAAATGGATGGAGCCACAAGTACTACAAGGGGTTAAAAGTATAAAGTATTGCTGAGAGCAACAAAAGATGGGAAGCTGTGGAGAATCATTCTTGCTTATGTCCTGAGAAACATGCCATGGAAAGAGAAACAGATTATTGAGGATTTCCAAAACAGCTTCTTGAATAAAGCTTTCAAACCAATATTATACATATGAAAAAGCTGATTTGATCATACTTCCATCAAGTGTTTATCTTTATAAATATTCTAAGAGTTAAATATGACAATTTCTGGGGGTCATGTGTGAAATTTTGTCCAAGAAACAATTAAGAAATGATAGTGTAGTGGAACTGGACAGAGACTATTTCTTAACCCCTAAGTGTTTGTTTACTTTTTATAAAAAGTGAATCTAAACACATCATAATTTGACCAATCAGAACTTAACAGAGAAAAAAAAACATTTTTTAACCAATGCTGGTATCCAACCAGTTAATATAAGAACAGGATTCATAATCATCTGTCATTCCTATAAGTTTGTTCTTACAAATACCTTACACAATGTTAATAACTTCCATCAGTCTTAACAGATGGCTCACCACAACACAATGAACATTCAGCTCCTTTCATCATCCTTACATTGCTTTATAAATACCTGTTGTTCTTGCCTGTATCTTGATGTGTGTGAATTTTCCCACAAATATCAGTTGAGTTACCTTTCATTGCAATTCAGAGACAAACTGTTGATACTATTATTCACAATTCTAAATAGTAATAATAAACATACTATTTTTATTATGATTTATTCTATACCAAATATGATATCTTTAATACAAATTTTCACCAACTATGTTACTCTCAATATAAGTATAAGCATATTAGTGATCTTAGCATGATACTGTTACGTAGTACAGAGAAGAAAGCTAGGATAGAATAACCTTTTCTTAAGGCTTTACTGAACTTAATTCACAGCAGTCAGTAATCAACAAAGAAGAGAATTCAGAATAAAAAGGAAGAAGAACGCAGCTTTTAAAGAGGAATGGGAACATGTGAAAAGTCACGTGGACAAGAAAGCTAGTTTCCTTTTTTTTTTACGAAAATATAACATTCTCCCCCACTTGCAAAAGAGATTGTAATTGAAAAAGTTTTATAAATCCAGTCGTTGGATTGATCTACGAATCCTGCTAGACCGGCGTGGAGGTAGTTCACCACTGGAAGAGCCAGACCTCTGAGAAGGCTGACTTTCAGGATTCTGGCTATTATTCACAGATTCATTTTCTGTATAAGGTGAAGAAATATTAACAGGACCTGCATCAGGCAAAAGGGTTGAATCTGCATGGTCCACGTCAGGTTGAGTATTTTCAGGTCCATTTTTATTTTTCCCGGTTTATTTCAAGGTTGTATGTCGAGGCAGCCTTTAAGAAACATTCCAAATTGACGTTGTGCTCCTCCTGGGTTTTATCGCAAACAGTTATATCATCTATATACGAAAAGGTTCCAGATAATTTGTTATCAGAAATGAAAGAATTCATAAATCGCTGAAAGGCAGAAACCTCGTTAGTAACACTCATGGGTATTCGTTTAAATTGGTACAGACGATTTCCAGCTTGAAAAGCCGTATAGGGGCGATCTTTGGGGCAAATTTCAATCTGATAGTACGCTTTGGACAAGTCAATTATACTATAGATACGATACTGGGCTATTTGGTTTACGAGATCTTCAATTCGAAGCAAGGGGTAGGCATCAAGTAAGGTGAACCGATTAATAGTCTGAGAGAAATCGACTACCAATCGTTTCTTTTTATTAGGTGACGAAGTTACAACAATTTGAGCACGCCATGGAGAGTAACTTGTTTCAATTATATCATCCTCAAGCAGTTGTAGAATTTCTTTTTCAATGAACCGAGCATTCTCCGCACGGTAATTTCAGGATTTAGTAGCAATAGGTTTGCAGTCAGGGGTCAAGTTTCGAAACAACTTAACAGGAGCACAACTGATCTTGGTTAAAGCGCAGATTTTTAGAATATCCTGAGATCCACCAAAAGAAATAGTGATACTCTGGTGTAGTTTTAAGAAGGGCACTCCGAGTATAATATCCATACAGGAATCAGGAAGTACTGTAAAGTCAATTTGTTTATATTCGTAACCATTGAAGATAACATCCTCAGTACAATATTCAGATAGTTTGAGGGAAATGGCAGATGATGCCATGGAAATTACGGAATTCCGTTTAGAAGTAGACAGTTTCATTGTTTTAACAATACGGGCACTGATAAAGTTATCAGAACTACCGGTGTCTATGAGGGCAGTTAATCTCTTTCCTTTTAATTCTAAAGTTTTAGTAACTGGAGGAGACCTATCATCGTCTTTAGCACGGGCTACTATAATAGCTGAGGTAGAACGTGAATGTGCCGGCATGGTAGAATGGCAAACTTTAGAAAAATTACCGAGTTTGCCACAGTTTCGACATATCTTATCACAGGCAGGACAATAGCGATGATTATCCTTAAAGTGACGTTTCCCTCCACAGTTGTAGCACTTGCCACGAGCAAGGGCAGCAGACAATTGTACAGAGTCACACTCCGTACAAGAATCAGTTAAGTCAGAAAGCATATTTTTAGTAATAGCAGTGGAAGTGGCCTCCTCGGCAGAATCAGTAAACACATTTTTAGTCCTAGTGGTAGTAGCAACGGCTGATCCAATCTGAGAAGCGTATGATTCAGCATGAAAGTAAGCCTGTTCTAAGGCTCTAGCACATTGAGTAGCCTCCTTGAGAGTTAGCGTATCATTTTCAAACAGTCTGGCACGTATTACGGGGGACCGGAGACCACGTATAAATGCATCACGGACAGATTCATCTTTGTAAGTAGTAGCATTAACATCTTAGAAGCAACAGTCAGCAGCAAGTCGATTCAAGGCCTGAAGGTATTGGTCTACAGACTCATTTTCCTGCTGCAGACGGGTAGACAACATGTCTAGCATGAATAACACTTGGAGACTTGTCATAAACACTTTTCAGCAATTCAACAGCATGTTCAAATCCAGAACAACCCTCGATAACATCAGCAACGGTAGCACTGATGTTTAAATAAAGGACTTCGAGTTTGTCCGGGTTTAAAGAAGCAATAGTTGATAAGTAATAATTAAAATTACGGTACCATAGTCTCCAGAGCTTGCTAGCCTGAGGGTCTGCAGAAGATATATCAAACTTGTCCAGACGAATAATCTTGTCCATGAGGAGTTAAGTTCAGTAAATTGTTACGTAATACAGAGAAGAAAGCTAGGATAGAATAACTTTTTCTTAAGGCTTTACTGAACTTAATTCACAGCAGTCAGTAATCAACAAAGGAGAGAATTCAGAATAAAAAGGAAGAAGAACGCAGCTTTTAAAGAGGAATGGGAACGTGTGAAAAGTCACGTGGACAAGAAAGCTAGTTTCCTTTTTTTTTTACGAAAATATAACAGATACCCTAGCCAAACTACAACTATGAAATTACACAATCACAAGAGAGATTGGGAATAGATTCTCAGAAGAAACAAAATGATTAATTTTACTTTCAAGCACTGTTTATCTTTTTCATAATTTGCCAAAGATCTCCGCAGTTCCTCCACTTCTTCTCTGGCATGCTGGAGTGGCTCAGTCAACCGCTTGTTCTCAGCTGTAAGGTCAGCCATTTGCTTCTCTAGTCGCTCTTCCTTTTTCTTCATTTCATCAGCTTGTTCCTGAAAAATAACCAACAAATATAAAAAAATGTGTAAGAAGCAAATAGTCAGCAACCACCAAGGAAAAAATAAATGGTCTTACAACTGACATTTATAGTTGCTTCAGAATAACAGATTCACTTTATAAATTCAAATTTTAAGTCATAGACAATGAAAGTGAATAAAACAGTATATAAAAATTAATACATACATCAGTTTTTTTCACACAACAGTTTACATTTTTTTCCATATTCACAATAGTCAGGCAAATGAATTTATATGTCTAGCCAGGGTTCAAAGGAACTTGGAGGTAATGAATACTGAATCTTAATGGATTATATTGATAAAACCCATGTTAATTCCCAGTTTGAATCTTCAACTTGCCTTGTACTAATTATTTCTCAAAATCTAAATTTTTTTTTTTACTTCATTTTATTTTGCTTATTCAAGGCCAGTTTTATCATAATAGCTATTTCATACAAATATTCATGTAATATATAAATTAGATTTAATAACAGACAGATTTATTGATTGAACCATTGTTTACACTGGTAATGGCAGTAACAAATTTTGCTGCTATTGTTTGAATTTGTAAGATACTTATGGGAGAATGATTTGCTTAAATGCTCTCTAACATCTTACACCTGCTTGTTTCTTGCCAGTGATGAGACATTTTGTCAAAATATATGAGACAATAGATTCATGCTTTTGCCAAGACCATTAGTGCAAATTAAATGTAAAAAGCTTCAGCTATTTGTTGTACTTGCTGTTAACCACCCTACACTTCCATCAAAAGATTAATATACACATATTTTAAATAAATCTCTAATATAAAATTTCAGTTTTGTCTAAACATCTAGGATAATGAGTTATTTTTATTATTATTTTCAGTCATACTAGTGCCCACATCTTATTTTTTTAATTTAGTACTTAGATTCTTAAACTAAATTTTCTTCTTGCCTCATCTGCTGAGGTATTGTTGGAAAAATGGAAGGCTGGAGGGAACAATGGACAAAAGGTTGCAATAATACAAAGATTAAGATATTAGTCTGACTGTAAGTTCCTCTTTGAGGAGTTTGTAATGTCCTATTTATCATCTCTCAGTTGCATTTGAGCAGAGTGCACTCAGGGGCGACTTCGTCAAAGGACAGAGTTGCAACTGAGAAATTATACTGAGAGGTGCCCAGCCGTGGGGAACAGCTGCCTGAGGCTGCACCCTCTCATTGCACCAGAGAGAGGGAACGGTGCTCGCACTGAGGCCAGCGTAACCGATGGTTGCAGGGGCTGCAGGCAATTTTTGTTCCTGGTCCAGGTGTATGAGCTCAGGTCCCCACCTTAAAAAAGATCTTGTGTCACAACTCATCTTAGTGGGGAGACAGAGTAAATACCTAGTGTGACTGAAAATAATAAACATAAGTTCTTTGTGTGTGTTTAATTTTCTTTAATTTTTTTTTTTAATCTTACTTTTTCTTTTTAATTCCATAAAACAACATATTCTGAATCAACATCATCCAATGAAGGCTTTTATGCCTTTTTATTTGGACATATTGCAAATTGAATTTAGATGAATGCTTGAAAACAATCTCAGAGGTAATTTTTCACAAAGAATTTAATTATAAGGTTAAACTTGTACTTTTACCAAACATTGCTTGATTTTTGCTTTCACCAATGTTTTGACAAAATTATTTCAGTTTTTCACTCATAAAGTGAGCTTTGTGCTTGATAGTAAATTATTATTCACCTTATTAGTATTTTATTTTTCTATACAATAGATTCAATTCAAACTACATGAAAATTCCGAAGTATTGAATTGAAATATGTTTAATGCTTTTAAGTTCAGTTTTAATTCCAACACTTAATTATAGCATTCTCATTAAAAACTTACAATGTTGAGTTCTTTGTATTTTTTGGAAGAGTCTGACATTAAACAGTGCCTAAAATTTTCTTTTCTCTATAATACCTAGTTATTATTGGGTTTACAGGTAGTATATATATGTAATGTAATTTATACATGCAAATATGTTACAAACCTTGAGAGTATTTATCAAAGCCAAGTTGTTGAGTGTTATATCATTGTAGTAATTCTTGATATCACTGAATGCTTTCTCATGATTCTTCATCAGTGTATTTATCTGGCCATTCTTTCTCTCTTCAATTTCATGGATTTCAATTTTACGTTTCAGTTCAAGTTCATCTCGTAGAGCTTTCATCTTTTTTTCATATTTAGCTTCAATTTCTTTGGCTTTGCGCTCAAATTCACCTTGTAAATTGGTTATGTCTTCATCGTTTTTCTAAGAAAAAAAAAGGAAATTTGAAAAGCATACAAGAAATAAAAAATCAATTTGTATACAGATTCTGATTTTTGCAATGAAATAAAATTAAAAATACTTGCTTTAATAAAAATAAATGCTTCTTCTAGTTATATAAAATAAATACTTACTTTATATAAAAAACAAATAGTTGCTTTAATTATACATAAAAATAAATTATTGAGCAAGCAAAATATATCTACATAAGCTCATTATTTGTTTCAAAAACTGCTCTTTTCAGTATATAACAAAAATTATATTTTACAAAAACAATTTAAAAAACATTAATCGGTGTATTTCTGGAGAATAATGTTAGGGCAAGTAGTTTTTTTATAAGTGCCCAGTATTAAGAATTTTTTTTTTTAAAATCAGTATCACCCCATGCAAGGCAGTAAAGCCACTAAAACACAAGGTGTTACAAGGTCAGGAGGAATTAGGAATAGAAACATTAATAATGAGTGGAAAGAGAAAAGAGGACAGTAGATAGCAATTGAAATTGCATTTAAATTTTTGCAGATTAAAGCATGGAAAGCATGGAGCCAAAATGGAGTTCCATAAGTGAGAAAAGAAACTGTTAGCATAGAACTTATGGCTATATCTAGCCAGCTCAACTGTCAATTGATGAGATCCTAACACCAGTCTAGTACTGTGTTTAAATTTATGAAACCTAGCTATCATAGCAAAGAACTCATCCAGACATTTATAGTGAAAGCATTTATAGAAAAGGCTGAGAGAGGCAACCTTACAGCAGTGTGTAAGTGACTGAGGCCGAGCCACCAGATCAGGACCAGTAGTATTGCTGATTCTTCTTTGGATCTTATCAAGGAGCTCTAGGTAAATAGCAGGGGCACCAGACCATATGTGGCAGCAATATTCTAGGCATGGACAAATGGTAGACTTATAGATATATAAGATACACAGCGAACAGACTTTCTTAGCAATGGATTCGATATAGTCTTTCTACTTTATGTCAGCTGAGAATGTTAGCCCGATAAGGCGCAGTGAGTAATTTTCCTGGAGGTTAGCATCAGCCATGATGATGGAAGGCAGAGAGGGGTCTCTCAGATGATTAATGGAGAGAAATTTAGTTTTGGAGGCATTAAAATTAACAAGCCATCTTTTGCCCCAGTTAACAATGGAATGGAGGTCATTTTGAACATCAGCTGCCATTTTGACCTTGTCAGACTGTTCAGCCTTACTATCAAGGCAGGAGTAAATAGTTGTGTCATCAGTGTACACTGCATGCCAAATTATTATCGAGATAACTTTTTTTATAATATTTCAAAAACTGTCCAATCAATTCACACAAAATTTTCACACAATGTTGGCAACACTGACCTGCGCAATTACTGAAATTTTCGTACTGATCTGCACAATGTAAACAAACTGGCGCCATATTAGTCATCAGCATGGTGATTTGAGCATGCCAAATTATTAGAAAGGTTTAGTAAAATTCCCAGAATTAAGCAAACAAAACGTTTATTAATGTTGCACGGGAATGTTTATGATCAAAATAAGCTAATAAATAAGATAATGAAACAAATAATAACAGACACAAACAAAGGCACAGTTTTAAACAAATTAATAGGGAATGTGCTTTCCCTGTTTTGAAATTACTTGAAGAAGTCGACGATCCATAGAATTTGTTAATTGTAGGATGTCATCTGCTGTAATGTTGCGAGATATGTCAAGAATTGCTTCCCACAACTCAGCGTTGCTCCTGAATTGTCGTCTGTTGGCATACAGTCTTCACTTCATGATGCTCCAAAGGTTTTTGATTGGGTTCAAATCCGGAGAATTTGCTGGCCACTTCATTTTTCAAGGTCCATCGAAGCCTAACTGTTTCAAATATTCAGTAGTCTTGTGAGCAGCATGTGAGGGAGCATTATCTTGCATAAAAACAATGGCCCTTCTGAAGGCAACTCTTTGCCTTTTCATCCACGGCTCAAGATGCTCCTTCATAAATGCTATGTATGCATCAGCAGCCATTTTGACACCACCTTAATTCATCATTACTAGCCCATGACATATTGGCAGGAGGTTGAATTGAGCCTTGTCCTGGTTGCCTTCTCAAGACTAAAGTGCCCAATCTGCTCTACTGTTTGATCTATAGCTGGAATAGGGAAAGAAGTGATGGATTTATGACTTCCACAATGGCATTAGCATGAATTGAATGCAACATCCTCAGCTAAAACTTGAACTCAAATTTAGATGGTACTCCTGTGAAACATTCAATGATTGGCCAATCCAAGTAACAACAAACTATAACAATGTAGTTAACCCTCCCTGTGGTGGAATGAATTAGCACATATGCATTGGAATAAATAGTTGAAGATGACCATCAGTGTGGTGGGGGCACTTAGTTTAGATGTGGCACTCCTATTGTAGTGGTTGCATCTCTCCCTTGCTTCAGTGATGGCTAAGGATATTCTTCACCAGAAACCCGAGTTGTCTGCTCTAGAGATCATGGAAAAGATGTCTTGGTGAGTAGTGTGTATAGTGTGTGGTATAATTATGAGGTTTTTATATAGGAGAATTCCATCTACAGTATAAAGATTTGGGCCAGAATTTTGTTTTTATTGCTTGAGCTAGTAAGGTATTTATAAGACAGTGGTTTTCCCAAATGCTTACCTAGCCACTCTTCAACTATTGTGGTAAACCAGTGACAAAACATTTTGTGAATACATCTGGCAATAGTACATAGGGACAAGTAGATTTCTTTCATTGTGAAGGGTATTAGTACAAAGTGAACATAAGCGGTCTCAAACAAAATTAAAAATACATAAGATATATGCAAATTTTTTAATCAGTAAAGTATAGAAAATGGACCAAATCATTAAGGTGATAAATAAAAAAAACAAAAAGAATGAGATAAGTAGTCAAAACAATTCTTCGAATGGTAATGATACCTCTCAGAACTGCAGAAAAGTAAAGCTTTAATTACCTTTTTAAGTGTTTTGATCATATCTTCATGAGATAATTCCATTTCTTTGAGCTCCACTTTTAGATTTCGTTTATCTTTACGTAGATCCATCTCACTACTTCGATTGCCATCTTGGGCTAATTTCAGGGCCACTGTGCCCTCAGCCTTCAACTGGGCAATGTTGTTCTGGTGCTCATACATCAAATGCTTTACTTTTTGTTTATACACCTGCACAAGAAACAAAATAACAGAGATTTAAGCACTGTCAATCAACAGAAACATTTGTGCCATCCAGTTAAATAATGATTCTAAACTACTCAAAACAAGAAATTCAAAACAAATTAAGCACATTGGATATTTTGTATAATAAGGGGAATATAAAAGATTTACATAGGTTTATCTCTCATGCATCAAGTTGATATATTCTGTCAGATAAAAACAAACTGGTTCCAAGGATATTGACAGTTTTGTTGTTTGTGCACCATGAAACTGCTTAAGATATTTTCTTAAATATGATGGATAAAATCAAAAACATTAATTCTGTGAGCTTGCAGTTAACATCTGGTGAAAAACCTGAAATTACATTATTTTATATCCTTAGGCTGCCTCAATGTGAAATCATTAAACTTCAATTTGTTTCTAAAATTATTAAAAACTCAACATTTTTCATCTGATGCTAAAGTTGAAATAGCTTTCTTCATAAATGAATCAAATGTAAACCAGTGTGGTTCATGGACAAAATGAAAATGGATAGACTGTTTGGAAATATGTGTAGCAATTTTAAATGCTATGTTGAAAAATAAACTTGTAATATCAAAGTAAAATTAATTTACTTCATTTTCATTCTAGTTTAAATATTCTATTTGTTTTAAAACTTGTTTTCTAGGATTGGTGACTTTATTTTTCAATCAATCCTTGCAGATCACATAATACAGTCAAAATCAAACAAAATAAGTCATGCAGATTAAAGTAAGAACAAAGGTTGTGGAAGATAAGCTTAAAATAACTGCTAAACATCATGTTTTCTTTTTAACACTGATGTTAAAGAAAATCTACATGAAATAAGAAACTTGTAACAGAGAATCAGTTCAACCCGATAAAAGACACCGAGTTAGTTGTATGTAGTGCTGTAAGCACCAGGAGTTTTGTCCTCTTTCACAATGGGCTGTTGAGAGAAGACCTTCTACTTTAGGTGGTGCTGACTATTTGCATATGAATGATACTGGGCAGGTATTAGCCAATAGTCAGCGTGGGTCTGGGACTGGGAGCGCTATATAGCACCAGTTTTTTCTCGATCAAGAGAGGTGCTTTCAATGTGTGGACATGCGAAAACCAGACAATATGAACATAAGCTATTTCAGCAATTGATGGATGATGGCAGACCTAAAATTTGATTAAAAAGTTAATTCCCCAGTTTAATAGATCAGTGTCCAGTCTTCCAGTGGTTGAATGGATAGAGAAGCTGGAACTCATTTGCAAGCTATGTGGAATGAAGTCATTGGAGCACATGATCCTTTTGAGATTTACGGGCAGAGCATTTGTAGTTTACTAACAATTGTCCAATGTTGACTAGATAAAGACTGCCTTAGTTACAGCCCTTGCTACAGATTTGTTTATGACATACAAACAGCTCATCAAGCAGCACCTGTGGTATGGTGAATCCATGAATGTATACCTGGCTGAATTGAAGGAACTCACATTCTTGTTGGAGGGATGAGTGACCATATGCTGGCTTGCACATTTGTGCAAGGGTTACCAGACAATGTAAAGCGGACTCTTTGTGTGTTGTCTAGGATGGACACACTGTCTATTGACCAGCTGCTTGTCCAATACCAGGCAATTCTGAGAGTATTAACCACATGGTGAAAGACTGTCAGAGCTGACAAAATGACAGGGGACAGGAGCAAAGACAATGCAATACCATGCGCTGTTACCATTGCCATGCCATGGGCCATATGTCTCAAAACTGTCCGAAAAAATGTGAGAAGAGATATGTCAATGCTAGTATCTTCTCCACTGTCTATAGCCAGCAGAGAGATATGCCAGTCATGGACAAAAGGGCATGTATGTGTATGAATGATAGATGAGGAGACGAGCCAGTTGTGTGATCAGAGTCATTGCTTTTCAGTTGCACGGTGGAAGTCCTGTCAAGATTGACATACAGGTGGCATAAGAAAAGCCACTTGGTTTTGGCTTTCTGATCGGCATGAATGTGATCAAAGGGGGAATAGGAATCACTCCTTCAGGTAGCAGTGGAGTTCTTTGATAGAAAACCATTCCTGTGTTCAGCTTTCACTATAGAGGAACCAGACTTTAACATCAAGTTTGATCAGAAAAAGAAAGCCTGGACAGTGTCACAGAAGTGGGTAAAAAATCAGGCACCAACAAGTCTATAAAACTAGATAGCAGAGTATCCTGTGTCCAGGCTAGTATGTAAGGAATATAACCAGGAGTTAAAAATATGGTTGGATAACAGCTGGCTCATACTATATCCTGGAGAGGAGCTCAGACCTCCCACAGGTCTAGTTCCACTGATGGCCGTTATCCAAGAGAGTTAGAAAAAGGTATGCCCTGTAATGGATTACAGAGAATTAAAGAGTATGTAGACATGTTCACAGCAAGTGTGGATGTCTGTGCAGACAAACTAAGGGAATGGTGACAACACAGGTGCAATGTATCATGGTTGAACCTTCAGAGAGCATACCTACAGGTCCACGTACACCAGTCATTGTGGCCTTTCCAGACTGTCTTACTGAAAGGGTGGAGGTACTGCCTTACACCATCAGACTTCAGTCTCAATGTGGTGCCTCTTATAATGAAGGCAGTTATCAAGACAGTACTGTCACAGGATGCAGCAATCCAAGATGCTACTTTGGTAATACATAGATGACATCTTCATTGACGAAAGTGCAGTTTCTGTGGCATGCATCAGAAATATTTGAAACTATAAATATATTTGATTTTGGACTGATCTGCAAGAACCCCATGAAACTTGACAATGGTGCAAAAGTGCTTGGTTTTCAAAACTTGGGGAGGGAGGTGCTTCGATGGAAATGAAGGAGTAAGTCCCCAGATACTCCAACTTTTATCACACATCATAATATGTTCTCTCTCTGCAGAAGACTTGTAGGTCACCTGGTATGTGGTTGGCTTAGGGAAACTGCAGCATTCCTAAAGTGACAAGCACTGCAGTAACCAAAAGTTGGGATGACAAAACCTCCAACACTCCCCTGAAGCACATGATCTATGAGATGGTGATAAGAGTATGTCAAGAAGTCCCTCCAAGAGGAGGCTAGTGTGTGAGCAGTCAGGAAATGACAGTGTGGGTAGATGCAAGTTCCATGGCCACTGATGTGGCACTGGAAATGAATAGAAACATTGTGGATGACACATGCTGGCATCATTGTGACAGTGAAGCTCAATATATTAACTTAGCTGAGCTCAATGCAATGTTAAAGGACATAAACTTGGTCCTGCAGTGGAATGTGAAAGTGTTGCATCTGATCACTGATTCCACATGTACCACTGGATCAATAACACCTTAACCAGAAACTCATGCCTGAAAATGAAAGCAGCATGTGAGATGCTCATGTGGATATGGCTAGAGACCCTTCAGGCACTAATTGCAGAGCATGGCCTCAATTTGGATTTACATCTGGCAAAATTCAACTAAAATAAAGCTGATGAACTTACCAGTTCCACAGAGGTGGTTAGATTTGTTGAAGAAGGACACCGAACATCTCATCTCAGCATGTAGTGCAGTCATAGGAGAGTTGGGACAATGCGAAATAATGAAAATACATCAGCATAGTGGTCACCTTGGTGTTAAGTGCAGTACTTATTTTGTCAGGCAAGTTGATCCATCCGTACCTAACAAAATTGTCAAGGTGGTGATTCAGAAGTGTCTTGAATGCCAGTCCATAGATCTGGCAACAGTGCATTGACAGAATGGAAGACTAGGGGTTTGCAGTACATGGTCCAGGTTGGGGATGGATAATACACATTATGACCACAGTCATTACCTAACTTTGATTGACAGTGGACCAACATGATTCTGTGTTTGGTGACCCCTAGCATGACAAGATTCTGAGAGCATTATTTGGCAGTTGGAGTTGATATTTTGCGAGAGAGGTCCGCCATACAAAATCCTTACCGATAACGATACTGCATTCAGCAGCAGGTTATTCAAGGCTTTCATGGAGAAATGTGGTATCCAGCTGCAATTTCAGTGTGCACATGTGCAGCCCGGAAATGGGATAACAGAAAGGTATCATAGGACCATAAAATTAATTGCAATGTGAAAGCAGTGCCCTGTACAAGAAGCCATTTACTGGTATAATGTGACACCGAAGGATGACACATTGAGCCCATCAGCAATTCATACTTATGAGGTTAGGATCAAGGGCATTGACACTGTACCTGCACCAACACCATGCAAGAAATATATAAAGTTGGAGACATGGTGTGGGTGAGACCACCATAGAACTGATGTACCTCAAAATTTACAACCAGGTTGGTCACTGGAATCATTAGTCCACAATCTGTCCTGATTGATGGTATGCCACATCATGTTAAAGATCTCCAACATGCATGGGACCAATGTTCTGCAGCAAGCAACACTGATGATTCATCCATGAACAATGGGGAGTTGGAACTAGATTCCTGGACTTTCAAAGTGCCTCCTGCCGTGGTCAAGATTGATAGCGATGACACAGAGGATGAAATACCTCCCCCACATAGTGACAACAATGAGGACGAAGTACCTCTTCTGCAAAGGAGCACTAGAAGGAAACACGTGTCCCTTGCATGTTGGTGCTGTGATCAAGAGATTGGGTGAGTGTAACAGAGAATCGTATCAGCTTGATAAAAGACTCCAAGCTGGTTGTATGTGGCACTGTAAGCACTAGGATTTGCGCCCTCTTCCACAATGGGCTGCTGAGAGAAGACCTTCTACTTAGAGTAGGTGGTGCTATTTGCATTTGAAAGATACAGGGCAGGTATTATTGTTGGGGAGACAGTAAATTTAAAGTTCATATGAACTATTATTCTGTACCTATAATTAATGTGTACTTTTAAAAGATTATAATATTTTCTGTCTACCTTGAGATTTAAATTTTCAAATCTTGCAATCCTCTCAACTTGAGTCTATAATATACCTATTATAACATCCTAGTTGAAAAGTACTGATTTTAAAGAGGTAAAAAGGCTAATTTTGTAAAACTGTGCAAATTGTTTATTTTTTTAACTGATAAAAGTTAATCTTGGGAAATTAGTTTTTGTGGTTTGTCTACAGAAGATGTCATGAGTATCTTATGATTCTTGTGAGAGCAAAATTTCCAAACCAACCACTAATATTTAAATTACAAAAGCAAAAGTAAATAGAGTAAAAGTTCCATTTCAGCATAAAACAATCTTATAATTCTGCTTGTTCCTCCCTTAGAACGACCATTATGTCCTGCCAATACATAAATAATGGACTATACATTTTGATTGTGTGGAAAGACAGAAATGACATCAGATACTACCTGGTTTCAACAAGAAAATGAAAGAAAGGGAAGCTAGAAGTGTTTAATATCTGTTTCAGTGAAATGGAAAAAGGATTCATATTTATAATTATTATTGAAGTTGTTAAGCTCAAATATTTAACAAGGTGATTGGGGAGTTTCTAGAGATATTTTATAATCATAGAACTCATCTGGAACATATTCAATCATTAACTTAAGAAACAGAATTCATCAAAAATTACAAATATAAAAACAGAAATTTTTGCAGGTATTTCTAGTAAAATTTATTGAAATTATGGTAAAATATTACAAAAAGCATCTTTATTTAAAGGGGGTAACTCTGAAATCTTTATTTTTAAAAAGGTAAAAAATGGTTAAATATATTAAATGGCTAAAATTGCATAGATTTAATTTCTGGATAACTGGGCAACTGCAAACAGTCCTAAAACATGTAAAAAAAAAGCTCCAAATAGTAAATATGCAATGTATTTATCATATCTTATTGTTATGTTGTTGACCAACATATCTCTACTCTAATTTTGAACATGGAAGCATCCATCTGCCATATATAGAACATCTGCTTATAGGAAGGATCATTGCAATGTTTAGCATTTGAGTTGTACACTTTGCCACACTAAATGGTATTTTCCATTACTGTATTATTGATCTATTTCTCTCATCTGATTAAACATGTTCTTCACTCAACCTGTGATATGGGACAAAATTAAAATACAAGAAGGAAAAAAAAAAAATTATGAATGATTTAAAAATTATGAATGATTTAAAAGTTAGATAGAAGAAAAAAACAGGTGTTACTGAAAATAATAGGTCTTTTTCCATCTGTGATGAAGTACTGATATATGCTGAAAGAGTAATAATTTCTATTACTTTACAAAAAAGAATTTTAAATCAATTTTGTGTTGGACATTAAAAAAGTTCAATATTGCAAGTGTTGAGAAACTCAGAGGTTAAGTTTTTAGTATGGTTAATTATGAATTAAATGATGATACCAGTTATTCAGGACTTCCCTGTCTTACATAAGAAAATAAAATTAATTTTATGAGAAAACAAAATGAAGGATTCTCTTCTTATTGGATTGGTATCTGCCAATGAAGAAGGATGGAAAAATCAGACTCACTGGACTGGAATCAAACACTAAAGGAGCCGAACACTGGATAACGATGAGCAGTGTATTGACAACACTTCCACATGGGAACATCACACATACAGGAAGAACACAACCAAGAGACCAGAAATACAAACAAGGATTAATGGATTTCAAACAGTGCTGGCTAACACGGACTGATATCCTTGGTAACGCATGGCAGCCATGTTATATGGTTAACATGGCACTCTGCCAGTCAACCTCTTTCCAGAAAATGTGCCTGCTTTCATGGAGCCTAAAACTTCAGCTGTTGGCTAGCAAAGGAAATCATTTGCATAGCTAAAACTGCTCAACTCAGTGTCTCAATTGGTAGACACTTTTTTCACAACCAGACATCCCGGCATTTGCATCAGCTCTGTTCTAGCAGGGTAACCATTTGCTTTCTGCAGAGACAGCACACTAAACAATCTCTCTTTGACCAACAGGGGCAGGTACCTTTATCAGTAGTGGTAAGCAGTAAGCAGCATGTCTGCATTTCATTTCTGCCACACAAAATTAAAGGAGAGATGGGTTGATATTCCTAAAAGGCAAGAGGTAACAGTCATACATATAATTTGAAAGTAAATGTTTCATTACATAAAAATCTTTACTATTTTTATAATTTTTTAATTGATTACTGAATTAATTTTAAGTTTAAGAATTTTAATTGAATTATATTATCATTGAAATAATTATTTCACATCTTGTTTACTCAGTTTCAGAAATGAGCAAAGCTGGCAGCAATGTGCAAATTAAAATACCTTTCATTTTGCTTACCTTACTTTTACTAATTCAAAAATAAACATACTCTAACATCAATCAAACCATGTTTTTCTTTCTTTACAATATTTTTTTTTTCATATTTCAGCAAAATGACATTACACATTACTTTTTAATCTGGAATTGTAATTTTCTGTGGACTTCTGCTAATTGGAGAATAAGAGCCATGGACAAAATTTTACAATTCTATCAAAAATAAAACATACACAACTGAGTTTTCTTTTATCCAGTTAATTTTTAAAATATTTTTTCAACTAATAAAAGATAAACAGATAAAAAGCACATGAAAAAATCATAGCAAACCTTGATTTCAATTTGGTGCCTTTCTTCAGCTTCTTCCATTTCTCGGTCCTTGTTTCGAAGCTGTGCCTGCAACTCGATGAGTTTCTGTTGTGTGATGTCCCAAAATGTATGTACACGATCACGTTCCAACTGATGGAAATTCCTCTCCTTCCTTTCACGGTCCAGCTGTTCCCGTAATCGTAATACATGATCCTCCAACTAAACAAGAAAAACTAAATAGTAAGTCTCACATTTCTATAAAGTGAATATTTTATTGTTGAGTAATACATAGCAATTATATTGTCAACAACAGCTCTTTAACTTACCAACAGAATAGAGTAAGTTATTTGAGTTATAAATAGTACCTGTTTTTAAACTAAATATTCAAACACTTGTAATGTGTATTATAAATGTATTTACAAAAAAATTTTATTTTTTATTTAAGAAAATGTTTGGTCTAACATTCTTATCATTATTGTTTGTGCTGGTGCATTTTCTAGTCATTCTCAAATGCAATCTCTTTGGTACTTTTCCATATTTATTTTCACCAATCTTCACTTTCTCACCAGTCAAGTGATAGATATTTATTGTGCATACACCTGAGAAAAGCCAGATAGTTTACCAGATGAATACTAAGTGATCAAAACAATAAATATGCTAATCTAAATAATTCATTGAATAACGATAATAGTTCAGAACTTCAGACAACATAAAGGATTGTATTGACTATCTTTTTCACATTTTCTGTATTAAATATAATGTCTAGTATGTGTTTCATAGCTGAATATGCACAAAGAGGAAGAAATGAAGGAAGTAAACAAATGTTAAAATTTTCAATAGTACTTTATGTATGTTAACAGGTACATTGAAAATAATATTAACAATTCAAAATGTTTATTTAATATTTCTGCTAGAAAAGTTATATAAATATTAACTTTAACTAGAGCAGAGCTTTCCAAACATTTTTCATTGACAAGAGGGCTGCACCAATTAATCACCTGTGAATTGGTAAGTAAATTAATCAGCATTTGCTAATTAATTGGTCATTAGCTTTTTGGGGTTGATTATTTATTTCCTTGTTTATTATGTGACACCCACTGGTGGTCACGGTCACAGCGTCAGTGCCAATACGGGATGTCCACTGGTCACGACGTCAATATATGACACTGTGCTGTCAGCCCGTGGTCAACTCCCAGTTGTGGCATGAAGCTGTAAGGTTTCTTCCACCAGCATTTTGGGGTTGACTACTTGTCACTTCCACCAGCCTGCTTTGATCTCAAGACTAACCTACCCACGTTGTGACTTTGATCTTAGGTAGATGAAATCAATCAGGTGTTGGGCCATAGTGCAAGCTGAATCTGGGATAAAGGTGATACCGCACAAGCTAAAGTAAAAGAAAAATAATAAAACAAACTCACAAGGTTCAAATACGTTGAAAAATAACAATTAACTTTATCTATCTGTTGAATACAGGAGTGTGTTTCTCTCCCGGCCCATTTCTATCAATTCGTGACACTTTTTGCGTTTCTTAAGCGAGTTATGGTATCTTAAGCCGTTCGTAAATAAAACCTGCTTTTGGTAGGAAGACTAAGTCAAAAAGGATGTGGAAATCTTTCGGTCAGCTTCTGCAAGGCAACACTGTGACTCTGTAACTCCGACCAAGTCTGGCTGACACTCTGCTGAAAAAACTCTCTGAAACTCTGCCAAAACTCTCACTAGCTGCCTTGAGACATTTGTTTATATGGACACCGACCAACTCCGGGGTGGGGGCCTGTCGTGGTTTGGGTTCTTTGAACTATTTCTTAATTCCCAACAAGAATTCTCTTTGTTCTTAGTCCAGGAAAATTAGTTACTTCCCATTTTTAGAAGATTAATCACTTTCCACTTCAGGGTTCCTCCCTCGTCCGTGAGGGAAGGTCGGAGGAGAATTATCCTCCTAGACTCTTCCTCTCTCACATTGGTATCTCATATCAATCCCCTCAATGAGTGTTAACAACTTCTCTGTCTTTCTCATTCATTCACCTCCGCCTATCACCCATGCTACAAGGTAGCCAATGATCTCTTGCCAGTGTGGGCGTGGCTAGGCTGGCCCTCTTAAAATTATTATCGAAAATTTTTGTTTACTGTAAAAAGGGTGACTAATAACTTACCAAACCAAAAAAGAATTCTGTTTCTTGAACCATCTCTCTTACAATCTACTGCCATTTTTATGCAGCAGACTTATTTGCATAAGAGAACCACGCTACCGATTAAAAACCCGGCGATGGACGTGGGAGGCCACTGCTTTTCTAAGTTTATTAGACTAGACGGATTGCAGACAGAAAGCGACTTCTGGACATAAACATGCTATTTCGCAAACATTACTGTACGGGTTTGATTTAAAAATAATTCCCGAGTTTAGCGGGACTGGATCTGTGGTTGAATAATTTAAATTGGAATTGGTGTGCGACCTTTCTGGGAGTGAAAATTTCTCTGATCGTGTCATTAAATTGCTTAACCAAAAAATGAAATTCCGGTTTACCAGCAACTATCTACAAAGAGAAATCCGTGGGAGAATCAAGGGGCATTGATGACAATTTGCTTCTATTTTAAATTCACGGAACATGAACAATTGAATGGTGCCTTATATTACGTCCAACAAAACTGGATAGATGTATATTTGGCTGATCTAGCAATATCCGTCCTATTTAGTATCATTTTTATGTAAGATGGCATGCGTGTTCCATTTGGGGTTTCCTGATCCTGTGAAAATTCCAGCGGTCCTAGCCAAGGCGGAAAATATGTCTCAGGGAGCAATGGCCCAAACTCGAGGGCAATCATAAAAAATGGTAGAATGCAGAAAGGGAACCAGTTTCATAATGGTGTTGCCCTTTTTTTTCCTTTCATTTCACTTGTAACATGGGATGAATGTAATGGGCCCAATACATAGACTGAAATATTTGATGAAGGGATGTCATTTGCATCGATGCAACAATTGGTCATCTGGCCAAAAATTGTCCGGGAATCTATGAGTTCAGACTTCAGCGCCTGGTCCATAAAAAACAGCAAGTAAACTCGTGCTATTAACATAAAAGTGTGTGTTCTTTTGCACACCATGCTTTTTTCTCCTTGATTCAGGTGCTCAGGAAAAAATCTTGAAGCTTGTCAGATTTCATGTCGGTCTTGAATCTTTGCAATCACATATTTCTTTATTAACCCGGAGCCAAGAGGCTTGCTTGGATTCTGCCCGTCAAAATTTGCACTTTGGTATAATAATGCTACAATCGATGTTTGGTTTTGAGGGAAACCCCTTTTCATGACCTGTTCTATGAGGTCATAAACGCCATTAAATTTGGAGTTCGCATCGCAGCATGGGCGTGGAGTTTGAAAAACCACGGTCCGTCTGCAGCGAGAACCTGGAATCAGGCCATGCCGATTTCACTTAAATTCAATGAGCGGCATTAGTTTTGTTTTAGCCTGTCTAATCAACCTTCAGGGAAAATCTCAATCGGATCTCTGAGTATTTAGTATCACCGAGATGCTAGAGATGCGAGCATGGTCTACAAACATGGATGGACAATGGTTATTTGGTGCTTACAGTAACAAGGAGTTTGGCCCGCCCAAGGGACTGATTACCACTGATGGCCGTGCTGCAGACCAACAAGCATAAAGTGCGTCCTGTGATGGACTATAGAAACTAAATACCTACGTTGAAACATTCTACAGGTTTCTATGGATGTTTGGCGCAGAAAAACTGCGAGACTGGAGACAGCATGGTGATAGAAACGTGTCCATTCTGGACCTCAGGAAAGCATATCTACAGATTCGTGTTGAAAAATCCCTGTGGCCATATCAAACAGTTATGTTTAAAGGGAAGAGATATTGTTTGACCAGGCTGGGGTTCGGCCTGAATGTGGCGCCCTGATAATGTGAAACTTGCTTAATGCTGTGTTATTCAGAATTAAACTATAAACAGAACAACGTTGGCATATATTGATGATATATATATCAACGAGGATGTGGCGTCGGTGGAATCTGTGAGGAAACATCTTAGTTTCTACGGACTGACGATAAAAGGATCCAGATTGATTAGAGGTTGAGCTAAAAGTGCTGAAATTATAGTATGGAAGGAACAATATCTGTAAACTGCATGAAAATTTCTATTTTTGGGACCCTATGACTATTTCGGAGGCCATTTTCCCTTCTGTTACACGCATGAAAACCCCTGGTTAATGGCTGCTGGTTTTCATCAAACGTCCCTTGGAACTAACTAATTTGGCAATAGTCACTAAAACTTACCTGGAATGAAGCAACTGGACTTCATTTCTTCTCCCTTTCAGGGTGTTTTCTTCTTCTGATCGGCAAATACTTCACAAAAAGGGGCTTCATTTAGGCGCATGCTCTTCGGCGATAAAAAACAAGGTGAAATATTTTTGAAATTCTAACTTCATGCAATGAAAACCAACCTCGGCCATAAAATGGAAAAGCTGGCGGTATTTTTTGTGAACACAGACTCCCAAAGATGTAACCATTGGGTGACTAATGCCCTGTCGGAAAGTCTCGGCTGAACACCAAGGCCGCTAGCGTAGATGCTCATAAGGCGACGATCAGTGAAACTCTAACGTCTCTTGTTGAAAGATTATAAACTTTCGTTGAGATAGCGCTAGTTTATTCCGACCAGAACCTTTTGACTTGACTTTGGCTGCAAGTTCCCCAAGTGGTTCAACAATGTGAAGGAATTTGAACCTGTTCAACCAGTATGTGCTTCTGCTGTACTGGGCCAGACTCACCTTGCTCCAGTTAGCTGAAATTCCCAAACAGCGGGCACCCTGGGTTCGTCCGGGGTGATGATATTTAATTTGGAAAAACCCGTCCGTAAAAAAAAAAGCAGCAGTAAGATCGGTTTTCTGCCCGTTGTAAAATTTTATTGTCAATAGATCCAGCGGCTGTGCGATGGTATGAATTTAGACATGCTAGTGTCGTGAAACTTGAGTCGTCTGGGAATGGACATTACACACTATAACTTGGTCGCCATTTTTGACCTGATGAAACTCCCCAGCAATTTTTTGATCTTCCCTGTC